CATTTACACGTTGTTTATTAGCGGTGCTTCTTTGCTCTGGTATGTTCAATGTTTCCGCATTGGCTTTTTCTAAAATGAAGATCACCTACTAATCCATGCATCAAAAAGGCTTATCTATTAGACTTTCACCTTTCCTTCCCATCTCGAGTACATACTTCTCATTCTCTGTGTCAATTGACGATATTCGATGATGGCTTCTCAAGTACACAACACTGATGTCAACGGTGGGGCCAAGTCCCTTGCAGCCATGCTGGAGGAGGAGCATGCCCGCAATGAGGCGCATAAGGTGACGGTGGAGGATACTGTGGACGAAGACGATCTGTTGCATCCCCCTCCATCTTCGTTGGTAAAGGACCAACAGGCAGTTCCCGCCCAACCCACAGCTGCAGTCGAGGAAGTAGTTGCCGCTACACCGTCGGCTTCCAAGGCGGCTCCTAAAAAGGCTCCTGCATTCGATGTCCGCTCCGAGGAGCTGTTCCCCGCATTGGGAAGTGGCCCGAAGCCCAAGGCACCAGCTGCAGCTACTTGGGGCGCCAGGCCCTCTGCCGCTGCTGCTCTTGCCAATGGTGTCGCTGGACGCCCACAAGCGAGTATGTTGTTCTGTCGCCCGGTTTGCGCTGCGGCTTGATCTAACCAGTTGTCGGTCAGCAGCAGGCGATGTTCCTAGAATCATGAGTCTTCCCGGTAAACACATGGAGCAGCTTCGTTTAGCACCCTCTCAGATGATGCCGCGAGCGCAGCTCAAGAAGCCCCTGAAGGATATTCTCCGTGACATATCTAGGCGCTCAAAGGCCAATGTCGATATGCGGGGCGGACCTGGAGGCTCGATCATCTTTGAGGGCAAAGGCTCAGTCGAGTCCGTAAGACAGGCTCTCAAGGAGGTTGCGCAGCAAGTAGGATCCAAGGTATGCTTTGATATCACCTTGGTTGATGGCTGTTGTTTTCATTAACGCAAGAGAATTTAGCAATCGGTTCGCGTTCCCATTCCAACATCCGCCCGCGCCCACATTATCGGCCGGCAAGGTGCAATTGTGCAAGACATTCAGCAGCGGACGGGTGCACGCGTCCAAGTGCCCCGCGCTGATGACTCGGCCACAAAAGATGACGAAGACGACAACGACACGATCGACGTCCTGATCGAAGGTGACGCCGTTGCGGCAGAGATGGCTCGCCGGGAAATTGAAGCTATCGTTAAGGAGCGGGCCTCCAACATGAGCCTGCGACTCAAGTCTATTCCGGCTGAATTTTTCCCCTTCATTGCAGGTGCGCATAATGCGAACCTGAAAGCTATTGAGGAACGTACCAAGGCTCAAGTGCATGTGCCTCGATATGATACGTGGCAGAGCCAGCCTCCCCCACAGGAGGCTGAACCCGGGCGTGTGCAGTTTATCCCAGCTTCTGATAAGCACATCCAAATCACTGGAGAGCGCACTGCTGCACAGGAAGCTCGCGCCGAAATTGAGAGGCTTGCCGCCGATCTTCAGCGGCGACTTACCCTTCGACAGCTGGCCATCAACCGCGGGCAGCACCAATTCATCCTCGGGGACGGAGCCAATGCTCTTCATGACTTCCTTGCCGATACGGGTTGTGCTATTGTGCTGCCGCCCGCATCAGATGACAGTGAATTCCTCACCATCACCGGACCGCAGGATTGCATCGAGGCTGGTATTAATCGTGCAATGGACCTTGCTACGAGCATGCAAATGGCCAGCATTGACTTGTCCCGTCAACATCCCAACGCTCCCGCCGGACCTCATGCACACGCACGTGCCCTCACCCGGTACCTGCAGCAACGACGGATCATCCAGCAGCTGGAGCAGATGTACGATGCTCGTATTGCACTCCCGCCTAGCTCTGATGGCCCTGTGACCTGGGAGGTTTACTCCCGGGACGGCAAGAATACTATCCGTGCACGGTCTGACATCATGAACTTGGTCCAGGCTCACCCTCCTGCAAGGCTTCGCTATGTCTCCGTCGATCCTTACTACCACCCGTACCTTGAATCCCATAGTCTCGGCAAGCTCCGAAATGACTATGGTGTCCATCTTCTCGTTCCCGATGAGCTGGACAGCTCCGATGTCGTTCTCGTCTATGAAGGGCCGTCGGCCACCACCTCACTGCCCGAAATCCCGCGCCAGAGGCCATCCCCGGCCGAAATGGCCGCCTTTGAGAAGACCCTACAGGAAGCGCAGGAGTTCCTTACGCAGCTTCTGGGAGACCAGAATGATATCGTTGCCAAGTCCGTTAACGTTCCTGCTAAGTACCAGGAGAAGGTACGCAAATTCATCGCCCGCGAACAGCAGGCAAAGGGTGATGACCAGATTCCTGTCCGCGCTCTCGTTGGAGATGCTCGTAATGCTAAGTGCGAAGTATCTCTGCGCGGTCCTTCCCGACAAGTAGATGAGTTGGTTTCAAAGCTGCAGGACTTTGTAGTGGAGCAGGAGAAAGATGACCTCGAAAGAGGCTACACGATCTCCTTCGACTTTCCTCAGAAGTTTGCCAACTTCCTCATTGGCAAGCGAGGCGAGAACATCAACAAACTTCGCGAGGAATTCGATGTTGACATCAAGGTTGACAGTGGCAAGGTTGAAGTCAAAGGACCCAAGGCCAAAGCGGATGCTGCCAAAGCCCGCATCATCAATCTGGGAAAGAAACTGGAGGATGAGACCACTCACATTCTGAAGATCCCCGCACAATACCACCGCGAACTTATCGGCCAGAAGGGAAGCCAGGTCAACAGACTCCAGGACCGCTACTCTGTCCGAGTCCAATTCCCAAGGGCTGCGATTGCAACACCTAGCTTCGACGATCAATCCGTGGCAGACACTTCTAGCGAAGTCGGCGGGTCTCGTCCTATCCGCCCCAACCAGGCCTCGGACGAAGTCATTGTCAAGGGTCCGAGCAAGGGTGCGGATGCCGCCAGAGATGAGATCTTGAGTCTGTTGCAGTGGGTCATTGACCACTCTCACTCGGCTACGGTATCCGTCGCTCAGAGCCAGATCCCATCTCTGATCGGCCAGCGTGGCCGGGAGATGGACAAGCTGCGCGCTGATACCGGGGCGCAAATCGACGTCCCGGGAGCCAATGACGCGCCCGACGCTTCGGGCCGTGTGCAGATCAAGATCAAGGGCACAAAGCAGCAGGTCGAGGAAGCAAAGAAGATCCTGCTGCAGCGTTCCAGCGAATTCGACGCTATCGTCACCAGGACGATTGATGTTGAAAAGAAGCATCACAAGGCTTTGATCGGCGGTGGCGGTAAGTCTGCGATGGTATAAATCTTTGTTCCTATCTTGAAAACTGACTCGATGCCCAGGTGCGAACATTCGCAAGATCGTTGCCGAAGCCGGTGGTCCTACCGATGGAAGTGCATCGCGCATTGTCAGGTTCCCCCGCCCTGATAGCAGTGAATCCACTATCAAGCTGGAAGGAAATGGCAAGGTCGTTGAGAACATCATTGCTGCTATCGAAGCTTTCGTGAAGGAACGCGAAGACCAGGTAACGGTCACTGTCGAGATTCCTCCCGCGCAGCACAGACTCCTCATCGGTCGTGGAGGCGAGACAAGACGCGGCATTGAATCGCAATTTAATGTAACCCTGGACATTCCCAAACAAGGCTCTGGACGGTCCGATATCAAGCTGAAGGGCCCAAGCAACGCTGTCGAGGGTGCGAAGGAGCATATTCTTGCCATGCTGAAGGGTCAGGAGGGTGAAACTGTCGAAGTTCCTCGGCATCTGCACCACGTTGTTGCAGACAACGGCGCCTTCTTCCGACGCCTCCGCAACGACTACCGAGTCACTGTCGACCACGCTGGCCAGCAAGTGCCACCCAAACCGGCTGCAGAGGAGTCCCGCGCCACGACGGACGGGGCGTCGTCCCTTCCATTAATCACTGATGAGCCCAGCGAATCTGTGGAGGCTCACTCTTGGAAGGTTGTCGATCACAGCGCTGCCGCCCCAGACCCGACGCAACCCGCGACCATCCCATGGGTGCTCATTGGAAGTAGCGACAATGTGTCCAGAGCCAAGTCGGCATTGGAGAAAGCCATTGCTTCTGCATCCCAGCAGACTGCGACTGGCTACCTGATTCTGCCCGATCCCAAGACATACCGTTTCGTTGTTGGCCAAGGCGGAAGCCAGATCAACGCTATTCGCAAACAGACGGGATGCCGGATCAACGTGCCCAAGGACCAAGCTCGCGGAGAGGCGATTGAAATCAAGGGCAGCAAAGAGGGACTGGAGAAAGCAAAAGAGATGATTCTTGACGCCGTCCGCGCTGGACTCAACGGCGGTCCCAGATGAGCCTCGTCTTTCTTTTCCCGTTGCTTCTTGGAATGAATGTTCTGATTTTTTGCTCGGGGACATTTATCATCTTGGACGCCCTTACGATGGTCTTTACGCATTTCCATTCTATAACATTCCACTCTGTGATCGGCAATGTGCTTACTTTCGATTCTTTCTTGTCCTAAATTTATCATTCTTTTTGTGTATCTTCTATTTTGCATTACTTGAGCAAAGCTGTATTCACATACTTCTGTCTATCTTGATCATCCATGGTACACTTCACTGATGGGGCAGGAGTGAGCAAGTATACCACCTCTGTGGCGAGAGGGAGTCTGAAACGGAACCAAGAGACATTCAAAAGCGGTCTATTTGACAAAGGGATATAATAAGAGGGGGGGGGAGGGGATAAAGAAACAAAAGACAGAAGCCAAATCGCTCCTCTACTATATTATCCGTAGGCATAAGTATGATCATATAACGTCCGAGCAAAAATGACTTGGAATTCCCCGAAAGAAGTAGGAGACCAAGCGCGGAAGGAAGTGAAGGTAACAGAAATATCTGCATTGGGTATCATCACCCAGCAATCCCTTGTGAAATAACAGAATCGCGAGCAGACAGAAAAACAGTCACATCGAAACCAGCATCTCTCCTGTATAAATTCCCTGTTTTGTGTATATTTTTTTGAATTTTGTCGCTCCAGTTTTCTCTTGCAGACATATCTACTGCTGCTGAGAATTGGCCTGGAGGTACTGGTAGGCACCGTAAGCGACGGCAGCGCAGACAACCAGGACGGCGTACATGCCGAACCCGCTGGACGAGGCAGCAGCGCCTGAGGGAGCAGAGGAAGAGGGGGCAGGCTGAGCACGGGGGGCAGGGTCGCCGGGCTACATAGAAGAGACAAATTAGCTTGGATCCGCAAAAGTCGGCCATAGCGTGGGGTGATAGAAAAAACCCACCAGGCGCTTTACAGTACCGACCAGCAGACCCTCGAGGATCTCGCGGGCCTCGTCACTGTGGCCGACGTCCTCGAAGGCCTCTGTGCTGTCCTGGCCGGCTACATCGAGGAGGACCTCCTCACCACCGCTGGGGATTTCAAGTCAGTTTTGGATTTGATGTCTCGGGGAGAGAGGTATGGCGAGATGAGACGTACGGGTGCTCATCGACGAAGCTGGTGCAGTCGTAGACCTTATCGTGGACGATGAGGTAGAGATCCTTCTTGGTGTTGTGCTCGGCGATCTCCTTGAGGGTGAATTCCTTGGAGGCGGACATTGTGATTATTTTATCTAATTAAACTGAATTGGTGACGGTTGTTAGATTTCTGTTACTTTCTGAGAGTAGCGATTGAGAGGAGAATAGGATGGGAGGGGAACCCAGCAGTCAGCAATTCCGACGGCATCAGGATGTCAGACGATAAGGCCAGCGTTTCGCTTTTCAGGTAGTCTCCGAAGAAGACGGGAGTAAACAAGCCTGCAGACAGGGAAAGTAGACTTACCAGGAACGAACAACGGAGAGACAGGGAAATTGCCTGAGGGTTGGGAAGAGAATAGGGATCGAGACAAAGCCAAAAGATAGATAGATAAGATTGAAATAGGGAAAGGGAGAAAGGGAGAGGACAGGAAGAGAGCCGGTGAGGAGACGAAAAAAGAAGAATCCAATGGCGGCGGGAAGTTAGTTGGTGGTTGATCCCGAAGGAAACTGGGGTCGGCCTGTGATTCTGCTGGCTTAGGCCTCAGGCACCGCTTCTTCTGCTGCCGTGGATCTGATCCGGTTATGGTTACTCCTCAGGCACCTTCAGAGTGATCAGTGCTAGGCTAGAGGGATACTCCTACTGATACAATTGTGGTATCTTATATTTTGCTCTACTAGTAGTACTTGACTCTAAATATCCTCTTTAGAGGTGGTCTGATAGCGCTGGATAGATCCTCAAGGACTGCGTCCCTCCTCCGCGAATAAAAAGCCGCTTATTTCTCTTCCCCTCTTGTCTCTCCGTCCCTCCCTCATACTCCGAGATCTGGATGGACGGATTATATAATTTCTGTGTATTTTTTGTCTTCGCTCTCTTCATTCCCATAGTCAAAGAACTCTTGGAACTTGTATTCTAAGAAGAATAAGCGCAGCGCTGACAAGCACCGCAGGATAATACTTCCTAATCAGGCCAACAGCAGAACATCTCCAGGATGAATGCTTCGACTGACTGAATCGGAATGGCCTTCCGCTGTCCCTTATGGAGAACGGAATCCAGATCTCGCTTCCTACTCCACTTGACGTTTCTTATCTACCTAGACTCATTTCTCACTGTCGTTGTAGGTACGTATCTATGTCAGAAAGTATGAGTTCGTAAGATTCTGTCAATTGATGGCTAACATGATGGTATGCATCACTACTCCGTAGAACACTCTTATAATTCAGGTGTGTATCATGCAAGGAGTTTAGATGCAACAGAGAGTGTCTATTCCGCTAAAAAACTAGTAACCATGGCTTGATAGATCACAGACCCAATTATCTCTATTTTAATGTTCATTATTCTCACAAGCAACCCATCAGCAAGTCTACAACAGACAACTACCCTCATCGATCTCCGCTCTGGGGTCGATAGCCGTAACCTCGGGGATGATCGACTACGGCAAACCTGTCGGATAGCGTACTCGGGCTCCGTCGTTTTCTGCCTGAGGCTGGCTCTGATTCCGGTGTCCGCGGAATCTGTCCATCACCGGTCAATTAGATACAAGAAGAAATGGCTTATGATGACATGGGCCATTTGAATTACAACTGTATAATAGTACCTTTTCAGGAACTTCTATACTTCCCATTGCAGCAGTATCTACCCAACTCCCTCCTCTATATACACAATAATGACATTGCTAAAGGACTGATCATGGTCAAACATGCATGGCTAAAGGGGAAAAAAAACAAAAGGTCAAAGTCAAAATCATCACTTATGGATCATCATCAGGTATCATGTCATCGGCCGTCAATTCCCTGCAAATTGAGCAAAACAATCATCTCATTTTCAAAGCAGAGCATGCCCAAGGTGTATCCGAAAACGAAAATCATCAGGATGCAAAATCATGGCAGTTTCACTTGGCCGGAACTCGCTCGTAGAATACAATGTATGCCTGTTCGTTCTGCAGCCGGTCCTTGAAGCGCAGATCGCGTGGGTTAAAATCTGTCGCCCGCTCATCGTCAAACTTGCGCCAGCATTGGCGCTGCGCATCCCGCACCAGCGATATGTAATGTCCGCTACCCATGGACGACCCAATATGGCGCAAGACCCCATACGCATCATACGTGAAAGGCGCTGTGGTCGCAGAGGTCATGGCTGCAGCCCTGGCATCGTTGGGTGGTCCAGGGCTGGGGGAGATGACAAAATCATCCATCCGAAGCCCATGCAAAGGAAAGTCAATGGGCGTATGAATCTTGCGCGCACTCTGCGTTTTCGATGCTGAAAATCTCTTGAAATGGATCACCAGAATCTGAGGCGCCCGGGTGATGATGATCTGTTTCGTTGCCACCCTCTCACATTTGCAATAAGGACACTTCCACACTTCATCCCCACTCAGCATTTCCTCCTGGCAGTAACTACGCAGGCACTGATAGATGTCGCCCGTGCCGGTCGGTGGAATCTCAACGCTGATACTGTAGAAAGCTTCGTACGTCGTTGACGTCCGCTTGCAGGTCGTACATCGAAGTCGACTGGCGTGCTGGCCAGCAAACAGTGAGGAGATGAAGGATTCTTCCCGGTGACAGTAGCGATCCCACTCAATCTTGGAGACCTTGGGCACAGGCATCCGCTCCCGCTGCATTTCTTCCTCGAATGTGAGCGGCCGGAGAGGAGTCCTCTGCCAGTTGATGTTGAGGTCCTCATGCAAACAATCCACCACAAAGTCAAAAAACTCCTTTGCATCCTGTTGCCGATCGATGGCCCACTCTTGGTTCAAGCGGCCGCAAAAGTTGCGAAATGATGTCGGCATGATCACCTCAACGTCGTTCTTCCACAGCGACCGAATCAGATTCGCAAATAGCCCAGGCATGACGCCTTGTGATCCTTTCCAATTCTTTTGAACGTAAAACCGGAATCGGTTGTCAATGAAGAACTTGCTAAGCATTATTGTCGCGCTGAGACACTGGATGGTCGAGTTCATGTAGCAAGTCACCCCGAAGTTGGTCAAACCAGTTCGCGGAAGCTTGAGGCGACTCAGCATCGAGCTGGGAGTATACAAGGCTGTTTTGGTCGCAGAATTCTGCCGCTCCAGGGGTGGCTGGATTTGCCGGCCATCCGAGACGCCACTATAGCTCGGTCGGGGTACGGCGGGGGCAGGTCGTGATGGCGCAACGGGTACAGGTGCAGCGTAATTGGGTGTTGAGGAAGGCATCGATGGGCGAGAGTGCGGCACAACCATCGACTCCTGAATTGCATGCGGCTCCGGGAAGCGTCGCAAGAAGTCCTCGTATGTATGCACCAAAGGCGTGACCGGAGGCTCTTGCTCCCCAGAAGCGTCTTCCGGCTCCTCTGTCAGCGCTTCCTCCTCGATATAGGTGCTTGTGTCAATCTCCTCATTCTTCGACTTCTCCATCCATGCGGTCAATTCTTCCGGATTCAGAGGCTTATACTCGCGCAGTCTTCTTTTTCGGACTTCAAGGCTGGAATTGGCACTCGCCATGGTCGGTACCCTCCCAAGAGGTCGACCCGGTCTCATCACCGGCCTCTTGGTCTGTATGGATCCCATCACGGCAGCAGTTGTCGATGTTGCGAGGGACTGCTGTCCCAGAAGGTCAATCCATGCATCGAGTCCGCCCAATAGCAACGCAGGTGGGCGTGCGTCTTTTAAGGGCTTGTACGCATTAAATTCATACAATGTGTCGTGCAAGGCTCGAAGATGAGGAGCTGTTGTCCCAACAGGTGACCCCGCAAGATAGCTGACCGAGTCTGTTTTCTGGTCATAGTACACAACAAGGTCAAACTCGTTGCGTCTTTCGAACAGCGACTGTTCATGTTCAGGGGATACCACTAGCCGCTCTTCAAGTTCCTCCGCAGACACGTTCTCTTTCAATGCCACAGGTTCAATGCAGATGATTGATTTTGCGTAAATATGACCTCCGTCGAATTTCTCGCGAGATCGCACATCGATCAGCAAAACGTTGTATTTGCGAAGGTACTCCAGCAAAGCTTGAGCGGTGATAGTAGTGCTATGCGGTAGATCTGCGGAGCTGCTCCTAGCTTCTTTGACCTGGTGAACGCCATTTGGCGTCGTCGATCGATAGGGATTGTCATCAAGACCACCACGACTGGGACTGCCACGTGGAGAGTTGGCTAATTGCGAGTATCGTGGATTGACGGGGCGCGAGCTCTCGGTAGATGTTCTCGGCGGATTTGATGGAGGTTGAGAAGGCACTGTCCATATCGGACTGTAAGCTGGGTCGGGCGCCCGAGGAAGAGAGGTATTGAGTGGTATCTTCGGAGGCGGATTCGGCACGTTGTGACTTGTCCCCATGTTACGGGGCCCTAGAGGGCGTCTCGAGGGCGAGCTCAAATTTGAGCTGGATTGTGAACCTTGCTGTATGTAAGAGGACGGACGAGGAGGATAATCGTCAAGGTATTTAGGCGGCGAAGGCGTTTTAGTCGCACCATTTTGTCCATTAATCGGAAGATTTTGACCATTGACGGGATATGGTGATGCCCTTAGTTTAGCGAAGCGCTGAGCAAGTAAGTCTTCGGCAGGAGCCGAATATCTGTTCGGCTTGGGTCGTGTGTCAGGCGCTCTCTGGAACTCCGAGGGACTCGGCATCCGTAAGGAACTCTCGCCTGGCTCATTTTGACGGCCCCTAGAAGCTGCACTCTGAGATGTTACCGCGACGGTCCCCTGAGATCCTGATGTAGTGAACCGGGATGATCCCAGCGGTTGGATATTGCTAGCCAAATTGTCCTCCAAAATCTGTTGTTTGATATCGTCCATCGTCCCTTGCTTCGTCCGCACAGCCTATCAATTTGTCAGCCACAGGATCTATCACTCGTCGCGAATCCCAATGCCGTAAGCGTGTTCACTCAAACCATGAACCGCCCTCTCATAGCTGGAAAAGCATACCATCATAAGACTCGCAAATTGCTTGTACCATGCCGGGCTCTGGTTGACGGTAACGCGGTAGTCAGGATGGTGCGGTATGATGTTGATAGTGATCTCGGATGCACGCAGGTATTGCACATAGGCTTTGTCCAGTTCTTCAGTGTCAGCATACTCCCTCGCTAGCTCGATCGCCTCCTGTGCTCGTCC